AAACAAGGTTTTTCTTAGATCTTAACCATGAGAACTCTGTGTGTTTTCTTGAGGTAAATCCCATGGGAATGTGGGAGACCCACAAAATTGAGTACCCAAGAGTTTTTAACTCTCAGGTCAGTTCCCATTCAGGCTCTAGTGATTTGTCTGAATTACTGTGTGAGTGTTCTGAGTAGTTTATGACTTCAGTGGTGTCTGCTCCAGGTTAGCAAATCTCAGCTGTGGTTTGCTGTATTGGCCTCTCTTTCCAGATTTCAAGGTAGCAGTTTGCCCTGTGACCTCAGTTCTCTGAACAGTCTAAGAATAATTGATTTTCAGTTTGTTCATTATTATCTTGTTGAGAATGGGAATGACAATTTATAATTTCCAAGCTCTTTACATGTTGTAGCCAAAATCAGAAGTCTCCCAATGTCCAGTTTTCAAGACTGGAGCATGTGGAATTGGCAGGGATATTGGTGTTAAGAATGACTACATTCAAATTTAAGCCATGGTATTCATCTAGAGATATTATCTTGTCTGAGTCACTTAATCTGTCTGAAACTCAATATCCTCACCAGTCAAAAATAGTTCTAAATACATAGGGTTGTGTTAAATTTAAATAAGAGAACATATGTGAGTAGGTTCATCATAGATCCTGGCATGTACTTTACAGGTATCTCATAAATGTCAGTTTTCTTTTTACATTAAGGTACCTGTGTTTGAAAACAAAGACTGTTTGGAGTCCAACCCATTGTGTAACATTTATCCTAGGAATTTTAAAAGTTCTTATGAAGTCTTTGCCATTCTTACAATGTTGAAAAAACTACCTTGAAAAAAGTAACTTGCCTCTATAAGATTGCTTTATTCTTAAGGCCTTGAAGGGAACTCAATGGTTTATTTATTCCTCTCTCCAAACTGCAAGTATACTCTCCTTAAAAAAAAAAAAAAAGAAGTCTAGTCTTCTACTGAAAAGACCCTTGAAAGCACATTTTTTTTCCTTTGGTCTGGGTCTGAATAAAGAAACATCGGCACCGAGTACTAAGGACAGTCATTTTGCTCTGGTGATAGGATATACGTCCTGGGTTGGAATAGGGGAGAAGTTATTGATTCATTTAAAGAGAGGTGATAGTTTGATTGTACACGTTATATATCAAACCATATTGGAGAGTTGTGTCCCTTTTGGAGCAACATAATTTAAGAATGAAGTTGGTAACAGTCAACTGTGTCCAAAAACGGTGACCAGTGTAGTAATGAGGGCATTAGTAAATCTGGAAACCTTGCTATATTTGGATGTGTATTAATTTATTAGATGTATTTATCTGTATCATCTCTCTTTCTATATAGTGTTAAAAATAGAATGTTTTCTGTTTGGTGCCAAATTTTTCAGAATATCTCTGATTTTACATTGTTCCAATTTTTCCTGAATATAATGCTTGACTTCTTCCCAGGAAAGAGACAGAGGAAAACCTCTGCTAGTGTTAAGTGTACATTATTATCTGACAAAAAAAAAATCAGTGGGCTGGACATTTTTTGCAGTAATTCTAGCTCTTGGCTTCATTTCAGGAAACCTCAAGTTGCCAACTTCAAGCTGAGCATCACTTTTCACCTAGTGTTGGTTCCTATAAGTCCCCAAGGTGTCTTTGCTTGGGTAGTTATGGTTTGGGCTGTTGTCCTGTGATATAGAAGTAAGGGGGTTGGGTAAAACCCAGAGATGTGCTAAGTGGATTCTGAGATGTGAAAGCTGGAGCAGGGAGCACATGTGAGTTTGAGGTTGAATATGAACCCCTAGCCCTTTCCCCCTGCAATATGTGTTGTTGTTATTATTTCTGGAGAAGAGTTCATGATCTTTTATAATTTTCTTTTCCTATTGATTCAGCAGTGGTAGTAACAGAAACTTAAAACAGTTATGGCATATAGTGTATGGAATTTCACTGTCATATATCTTGCACATTAGAGAATAAATTGCACTGTGCCAAAGAGGAAATTTGCCTTGTAGAGAATTCATTTTAGGGTAGCTTTGATGACTTGAGATACACAGGGTAGCATCTCAGCAGCCGTCTTCCTTCTCTGACCTTATGCAGCCCCAAGACAGAGGTGAAAGTACAACTGGCTTTAGCTGCAATTTCTCCCAGTACTTTTTTCCATTCGGAGAGGGGAAGCTGATAGAAATATAACGAGCTTAAGAATGAACTTGACTTTCAAAGATTTTTGAGAACGTGTGTGTTTGGCCATACGGCTGAGGGCAGCTAGAGTGGGAGACAGTAGTTTGAGTTGACTGCTTCTGCTTTGCATGACTGTGGGAAAGTGCTTAAATTCTTCTTGCCTCAGTTTCATCATCTATAAAGTGGGGATTGCAAAACCAAACTCAGAAGATTATGGTAAAAAGCGGATGTTGTAATATACTTGGAAATGCTTTGTAAACGCTATGCATGCATTTTCAGTTGCTCCAGTCGTGTCTGACTCTTTGTTACTCTAGGGACTATAGCCTGCCAGGCGCTCTGTCCATGGGATTCTCCAGGCAAGAATACTTGAGTGGGTTGCCATCCCCTTCTTCAGGAGATCCTCCCAACCCAGGGATCGAAGCTGCATTTCCTGTCTCCTGTGACTCCTGCATTGCAGGCGGATTCTTTACCACTGAGCTACCAGGGAAGCCCCACTTATAAGGTATATGGTATAGCATTTATGGGCTTCCCAGGTGGCACTGAGCCACCAGTAGTCATATATAGGTGTGAAAGCTGGACCATATAGAAGGCTGAGCGTTGAAGAATTGATGCTTTTGAACTGTGGCATTGGAGAAGACTCTTGAGAGTCCCTTGGACAGCAGGGAGATCCAATCAGTCAATCCTAAAGGAAATCAACCTTGAATATTCATTGAAAGGACTGATGCTGAAGCTGAAGCTCAAGTACTTTGGCCACCTGTTGGGAAGAACTGACTCATTTGAAAAGACCCTGGTGCTGGGAAAGATTGAAGGCAGGAGGAGAAGGGGACGACAGAGGATGAGATGGTTGGATGGCATCTCTGACTCAATGGACATGAGTTTGAGCAAGCTCCAGGAGTTGGTGATGGACAGGGGAAACTGGTGTGCTGCAGTCTGTGGGGTTGCAGAGTCAGACATGACTGAGTGACTGAACAACAACAGGTGGCACTAATGGTAAATAATCTGCCTGCCAATGTGGAGTTCAATCCCCGGGTCGGGAAGATCCCCTGGAGTAGGAATGGCTATCCACTACAGTATTCTTGCCTGGAGAGTCCCATGGACAGAGGAGCCTGGTGGGCTACAGTCCATGGGGTTGCAAAGAGTCGAACATAACTGAAGCAACTTAGCATGCACACACATACCTTATACTTTCAAGACAAGGATAGTGTATTATTTATCTCCATCTACCTAGCACTTATATACCCCTAGTACCTAGCACAGAGTCTAGTACTAATAAAGGATTGGTAGCTAAAATTAATGACTAGTTTTAAATATTCAAATTTCTGAGGATTTTGAAGAATTAATTGGTCCTTTGGATTGCATTAGAAAATCTCTTGAGTTCATTCAATGTTTAGATTCAAGGATTGAGAACAGTGTGTGAGGTTAAGACTGTTATAGACAAGCTTTCCAAGAAGTTCTTAATATTCTAAACAACAAAAGTCACAAATGAACACTTAGCAATTGATGAAAATGAAGATTAACTTTCTCAAGTGGGCTTGGAAACCCAGTACAATTGCTTTGGCATCTGCTCAACATTGCTGCGCGTGGTCATAAACCCAAGGGAAGAATCTAGTATGTGTGTTCTACCTTGTGAGGGATCTGGGGCAGATGGTGGTGGTACAACCTAGAGCTCACTTCTGCCACAGATGACTGAGATGTTTGGCTAAGTGATCCCAAGGAGCAGATGGAATGCAGTCTCTCTAGGTAGTCTGAAAATGGTAATAATTTGATTTTTCAAGGCTGAAATGGCATCATTTGGGGGTACATCTGTTGTGGACCTCTGTTCTTTGGAAAGAAATGAAAGAAAGTGCTAAGTTAATTTTAAAAGTCTTGGGAAACTTGATTATTTTTGTTTTTAAACTATGTCTTATTTCTTGAAAAATCTATTATTGTTGTTTTCCTTTCTCTCATAAGAAATGCAGAACTCTGATTATTTGAGATAAATTGTGTCTAGAGGGCTTCAGTTTGGAGAAAATGGGATGGTGACATTATTACTTTCTCTCTCAAACCAGTGACACTAATCAGGCCTTATGCCAAGGGTTAGGGGCAGCAGATGTAATCCTGAACCCATAGTCTCTGTAGAGTGGATAAGGCTTCCAAGCCATGTGGAAGCCGAACTTACCAAGGAAGCTTAGCTATTATCCTTCCAGATGTTCAGCTTGCAAATAGGAGAGGTGTTATTTTCAGTATCAAATGTATAGATAAGTACATGCCTTGTTTTTTTCATCCTCATACCCGTTTAGGGGATAACTTCCATTTTCAGGTCTGGCAATCTGTCAGATAGCTCCGTTTAAAGTTATCTACCAAAATGATTAAATTGGTGATAGCTTTTATTCTTGGCTAAGAACTTGCCTTTCCTCCAGAGATGAACAGGCTTAAATCGTTATGTCAGTTTATATAGTATATGGTTTGTTGTCAAATATTTATCTTTGTCTAAAAATGAAATGTCTTGAAATACAATTTCTTTTTAACTGAATAAATCAATGAGAGAAAAAGAACTTCTCATTTAGCCAATTTTTAATCGATATTTTTATGAGAGGCCAGAATGTTAACTGAATCCTGACTTTTGTCATTTGAAATATAATTTGTGTGTTTAAGAATTTATGTACACATCAAGGTTTGGACTTCATGTTCAGAAAAGAAAATTGATTTATAGGAACAAACAACTGCAGGAGTAGAGGCAATGCCAGAAGTAAACATGAGTCAATTATTTAAGGCAAATGGGACCTTAATCATCACAGCAATAGAGAAATCTCAAATTCAATTAAATACTGGATTTTCATGCTTTAATTTGTGGGCATTTCTATATCTCTTATTTTACAGAGGCCTTTGAAATTGTTGTTCGCCACGCCAAGAATTACACCAATGCCATGTTCAAGAACAACTATCCAAGCCTGACCCCACAAGCTTTTGACTTTGTGGGTGAATTTTTCACTGATGTGTCTCTCTACATCCTGGGTTCTGACATCAACGTGGACGACATGGTCAATGAATTGTTTGACAGCCTGTTTCCAGTCATCTATACCCAGCTAATGAACCCAGGCCTTCCAGAGTCCACCTTAGACATCAATGAGTGCCTCCGAGGGGCAAGGCGTGACCTGAAAGTATTTGGGAATTTCCCCAAGCTTATTATGACCCAGGTTTCCAAGTCACTGCAAGTCACTAGGATCTTCCTCCAGGCCCTGAATCTTGGAATTGAAGTGATCAACACAACCGATCACCTGAAGTTCAGTAAGGACTGTGGCCGAATGCTCACCAGAATGTGGTACTGCTCTTACTGCCAGGGACTGATGATGGTTAAGCCATGTGGTGGCTACTGCAATGTGGTCATGCAGGGCTGTATGGCAGGTGTGGTGGAGATTGACAAGTACTGGAGAGAATACATCCTGTCTCTGGAAGAACTGGTGAATGGCATGTACAGAATCTATGACATGGAGAATGTACTGCTTGGTCTCTTTTCTACCATCCATGACTCCATCCAGTATGTCCAGAAGAACGGAGGAAAGCTCACCACCACAGTGAGTACCATTCTACAGCTTTCCAGGGAACTGGATTCTATTTGGGGTGTGGTGGCATGGCCAGTAGCAGGGGCTGATGAAGAGAACTAAGAAAAACATGGGCCGGGATGATAGAGGGCCTGAATGTCCTCACAAAACTGGGCAGTGCATTAAATCCGCAGGTTATGGAGTCCAAAGCCTGGCTTTGCATTTTAGCTCCATCTACTTTCTTGTTTTCGGACCTTGGTTATGAGGCTCTTTATAAGCCTCATATTGCTGATTGATAAAATAAGGATAAAAAGAATATCTTCTTCATTGGGAGTAACATGGGTTACAGTTCTTCAGTAATTATTAGTTATTATTACCACTGCTGTTAGTTAACACAACATTCTTGACAACCCTCTGAGGTATGAGCTATTATCTCCATTTTGTAAATCAGGGAACTGAAGCTCAGGGAAACTGAACCTTGACCGACAGCACCCAGCTATAGTTAATGAAAGAGCCATGATTCACAAACTGATCAGGTGTCCTTTTAATTAGGTTATCACGAGTTTCTCTGATTCTGATTTCACTCTTGTGCTCTTCATCATATATATCACATTACGATTTTGAGTAGTTGATTTGCGATGTTAGTTTTGATTTGCATTTTGAGTAGTGACTTTAAAAGTAGGAAACCCAGCTAGAACCCACTAACTAAAGCTACAAATGAATGAGGCAAAACATTCATATTTTCCAACAGTTGTTTTTGCAGCCTTGATTTATCCCAGTGTAAGCCTGATGATATTTGTATTGGGGTGGGACAGTTCTGTGAGGGAGCAGCTTGCTTGGTTTCAGTCAGATATCATTAGTTACACTGTACCTGCTAAGCTAGGATACACACATTCAGAACCACGGGAACACACACTTTTCAATACAGAAAAGTACAGCCAAGAGCTATCAGTTAGATCTCACTAAGGTTACAGTGACTGATTCCTGAATGTTGCCAGCTTTGTTGAAGGAGGTGGCAGAATCATCTAATACACTAGCCTTGTTGAGATCCTACCACATTTGAAGTGCTCTGCTGACCAGTTTACATAATATTATGTCACAATAATCCATGGGATAGATCCTAATATTATCCCCATTTTACACAGGAGTAGATGAAGCCAGCTTCAGAGCCAGCTTAAGAGTAAATATTAAAAATAACTAAGGTCATGGCATCTGGCCCCATTACTGCATGGCAAATAGAAGGGGAAAAGGTGGAAGCAGTGACAAATTTCCTCTTCTTGGGCTCCAAAATCACTGCAGACAGTGAATGCAGCCATGAAATCAGAAGATGATTGCTTCTTGGCAGGAAAGCTATGACAAACCTAGACAGTGTGTTGAAAAGCAGAGACATTACTCTGCTGACAAAGGTTCATATAGTCAAGGCTACGATCTTTCCAGTGATCACGAACGGTTGTGAGAGCTGGACTGTAAAGAAGGCAGAATGCTAAAGAACTGATGCCTTCAAACTGTGGTACTGGAGAAGACTCCTGAAAGTCCCTTGAACAGCATGGAGTTCAAACCAGTCAATCTTAAGAGACATCAGCCCTGAATATTCACTGGAAGGACTGATGCTGAAGCTGAAACTCCAATATTGTGGTCATCTGACACTCACAGGTGACTCATTGGAAAAGTCCCTGATGCTGGGAAAGATTAAGGGCAGAAGGAGAAGATGGTATCAGAGGATGAGATGGCCAGACAGCATCACTGATGCAATGAATATGAACTAGGGCAAACTCCGGGAGATGGTGAGGGACAAGGAGGCCTGGCGTGCTGCAGTCCATGGGGTTGCAAAGAGTCAGACACAACAGCAAGATGAAGCTTGATGGCTCAGCTGGAAAAGAATCTGCCTGCAGTGTGGGGGACCTGGGTTTGATCCCTGGGTTGGGAAGATCCCCTGGAGAAGGGAAAGGCTACCCACTCCAGTATTCTGGCCTGGAGAATTCCATGGACTGTATAGTCCATGGGGCGCAAAGAGTCAGACACGACTGATCGACTTTCACTTCACTTCAGAGAGCCTAAATACCTTGCCCAGACATCAAAGCTAGTTAAATGGCAGTAGGGAAACTGGGATTCCAACCCTGGGTTGTTGCCTTGCTTGATTTATGGTCTTACCTTCTATACAGTGCAACTGCTGTGTAGTCTGAACCATTGCTTACCCAGAATGTGGACGGCAGATTGGGCCATTTAGCCCTGTCTTTAAGCTCTGCAAGTACGAAATGATAGGGGTAATTGGTTTCTTTAGCGAATTAAACTAGAAAGGAGAACAAAAAATGATGCAACCCACAGGATGGCTACTCACGGAGCTGCTCTAATTGTCCCATTCAGAATGTTAGCCATTTAAAACACATTTGCTGAGAAAATATTTTATAGTAAAATGAACAGAAATGTCCTAACGATAGTGTTCTTCAGTGGTTAATTATTCCTCTGATTGCTTTATAATTCGAGGCCAGATTCTTGGGCCTTAAACAAAAGTAAATCTCAGAGAACTAGAAAAATGAAAAGCCAGTGCATTCATATGTTCATTTCACCTGATGTTCCTTGAGGGCCCTCTATGTGTCCGACACAAAGCAAGAGTGACAGGGGTGTGGAAATGTCTTCAATAAGAGGAAAAATAAGAAGATAACATTAAAGACAGAATATGGGAGTGTTTAAAGTTTGCCTCTGATATTGGTCACTTTGACAGCAACATTTTGAAAACATGTTTTCTCCTCTGGTTATTTTCAACACAGAAAACTAGGGTGGGGAGCTGGTAGTGGATGGAGTCCACTATTTTGATCAGGCTCTAGACATGAAAGTTTATTTAGTGAACATTTCTTGAGCATCTGCTCTGTTCATGGCACTTTGCCAGTGCTTGGTACTCAGTTGCCCCAGACATAGTTCTTAAGTCTTTAAAAGGTCAGTTTAGCTTTGTTGACAGACGGACGTGTAACTGAATAATTTTCAGCACAGTGAACATCTCACTATAATGTGAATGTTGGAAGGCCTGAAAGAGATTATCTAGTCCAGTCCCTTTGATTTACAAATGAAGAACTAAAGTTCAGAGAGGCTTGCCCACAGTTATATAGTTAGTGGAAGAGCCAGAAGTGGAGTCCAAGGTCTGCTGCTGCTACAGTCAAGCACTCTTTCCACCACACTGATCTGTCTCCCATAAGACCCTCCCAGATTTTCACTCAAAAAGCTCCATTAGGATTCTGCAAAGACATCATGAACTTAAATTGAATAGCTATTTGGAGGTGCCAAACCTGCTGTGTGTTAGGTGCACGTGGGCCCGTCTGTGTGTGTGCACACACAGAGGGAGTACATTTCATGCCATTATCATTCAGGAAGAAAAGCCTTGGCTGTCAAGAGGTGCTCAGTGATGCAGTCAGTCCCTTTCTGTTTTGGCCATTAAGGGCCTGATTGCTCCCAGCTCCCAGCTGGTTATGAGAGCGTGAAGTCTGTCTTCCCCAGGGAATGCATAAACTAGAACAGAAAGCATATGTAAACTCTGCCTTGTTACTGTTTTATGATTGCCAGCTCTAAGTAATGTATACCAAACGGTGGGGGTGGGGAATCATTGCCCAGGTGTGATCCAGCTATACCCTGTATGCACCATCAAGGGGCTGGGTCATTTATGGGTGGTGAGGGGAAGTGAGAGCTGGGTGGATTGCAGAACCCTATTCCTGTTAACAAAACCACAGAATGCCCCCAAGCCTAAGCTCCTTGAAAACTAAAGCATTAATGAGATTCTGCAGCAGCACCTTCACCTTCCGCCTGTGATCAAATGTGAGACCCAGCCAGTTGGTCCTGATTGAGGTTAAGTTGTGGTGAGAGACCTCTTTGAAAATCAGCTCTTCCAGAGCTCTGTTAGGACAGCATTTCTAGCTAGATATAAGCTATGCATGAAGTCTGCCATGGGCTTACCCAATGGCTGTATGGTAAAGAATCCACCTACAATGCAGGAGCCATGAAGTCTGCCAAGCAGGGACTTTGCTCATCTACCCCAGATCATGAAGGACATTTTGGTCTTATCTAAGTGAGTGGGGCACTGTGAATTTTTTATAATTATGGCCTATTAGTGTTTTAGTTTTCCCTAAGATATTTTTCCATTCTTCAGACTACCAAGTGAAGACACATGAGCAAATGTTAGGATGTTGTTCCTTGCTGCACTCCTGGAGGGTGGTAAGCATGTGGTTCTCAAACTTGACTCATCACCACAATCATCTTGGGAACTCATTAAACAGATTCCTGGAGCCCCTCCCCCAGCCCTGGGGATTCTGATACCATAGGTCTGTGCCAGAGAATTTGTCACTTAAAAAGTACTCCATTTGATTCTGATACTTCCTTGGAAGCAAATCCAGCCACCTTGTTTAGAAGATAAGGCCCAGAGGTTGGAAGTGAATGACAATGGCAAAGCTGTGAGCACATCTATCAAATGGGGCTGATATATGGGAATTCATTGAAATGATAGGTTCAAAGTACCTGGCAGAGTTCGAGGCACATGGCAAGTACTAACTAAGCCACAGTGCAGTACTCTTTCTACAACATGTTTCTAAGTGCCAAATGGATAATGAGTTTTTCTGAAACTTGTTTTTAAGTGCCAGGAAGTTTCATGTTATTTTTTAAACTATTTTATGTTATTTTTTTTTGAAAGGATATTTAGTAATATCCTTAGGATGTCATTTTTTTCCATTTATTTTTATTAGTTGGAGGCTAGTTACTTTACAATATTGTAGTGGTTTTTTCATGTTACTTTAACCCAAAGAAGTGAATAAAAAATAAAAAGTGAATAAAAATAAAAATAATAGTGTGTGTATATGTGTAAGAGAGAGAGAGAAAGAGAGCAGAGGTGAGAGGAAGGTAAGGAAAGAGAAAAGTTTTACTGAAAAGTATTAATGATGGGACTGTAAATAGATCTATCTTGATTCTTCATCTACATTTGTGAACTAGGTTAAATATCATGGCCCCAAGTGAGTACTGAGTAGGTCTTTAATAGTATTGGGGCATCATTTGGG